TCAATGCGATTAAATTATTTGGTAAGATGAGTTTCATTTTTTGTATTCCTCTCAAGTACCTTGGTTTGTACACAGTTCGGTATAGTTTCGGTACTTTATTAAGTAGCTTCAGCTACTTTATGTGAAGACTTTGTCTGTCTGTCTGTCTGTCTGTCTGTCTGTCTGTCTGTCCGTCTGTCTGTCAGCAGGATATCAGGAGAACGGATCGAGATAATCGAAATCGGTTTTCGCCATCATACATAGGACCCCAGGGGGAGGATCCTATCAACTTTTGGGGGCAACCGGACCACACCCCCTTTGGCGACAGGGGGTGTGGTCGGGGCAAAATGAGATTTTTAGTGCAATTTAATCTATAGGTGAAATAGAGTGAAATTAAGTGTTCCCGAGTTGTTCCACACCCCCTCGTCGCCAGGGGGTGTGGTCGGGGCAAAATGAGATTTTTACAAAAAATTAATCTATAGGTGAAATAGAGTGAAATTAAGTGTTCCCGAGTTGTGGTGGGACCGTTTGGGGTGAAGTACGTCTGAAGCTACTTCCGTATGCGCGTTTGCGACGGTTTATTATATTATTACTTTATTCGGTATAGTTGTAAAAAATAATGGCAAGGCGCGATGTATTTATCTAAATGCTTGGCTACACGTGACGGTGATAACTTGTTGGTAAATTTCTACAATTTGTCAAGTATTGTCACCCGTTGGTAACGATTACTCTTACCACGCGGTCACAAAATTTAACAGTGTATGGAGCCAATATTTACACCAAATTCTTTGCGTTATGGGAAATTTCAAGTTCAAACTTTACGAATGTAAACCTTTATTTGTCAAAGTGTTTTTAATGGCTGTGAAATATGATTAGTTTGAAATTAGATCCGTGCTAAATTTATCTCTTTTTACAACTTGTTAAAACTATTTACATATGTATCTTGTACATTGAACCACGCAATTTTCTCAGGAGGGCTATAGTCGATTTTTTTTAATTAGACCCTTTTTTAATGATTTTGTCTGACCTTGTGACTTTCATTTCAAGGGAGTGTGGTAGTATTTAAAAAAGTTTGGACTTTTTAAAAAAAGTCGGTTGTTCATAGTTGTCAGAACCGTTTACATTTTTGAAATCGTTGAAAAATTGACCGAGTACTAGTAATTTAAATTTTCAATGTATAAAGAAAAAAAGTTCTAATTTTAAAAAATCGACCATAAAAGCCGAGACAACATAACGGGTTTTCATACAAACTTTAAATCTCCCGTTTTTTCATTCTAGGTTGGGAATCTGCACGCCTCTATAGGAACAAGCACTGTATCGGGAACGGTACTCAAATACTGAAGGGGGAAACGTATCAACCAACCCAATCCTATTGGTCTGTTAGTGGGCCTGGTTTTGTGTAAGTGTGTTTTATTTTACTTCATCTAGTCCTAAATACCGATATGGTGACCCGAACGAAAATTTCTGAAAACATGTTTTCACTATCTTAATATTTCTAAATATCCGCTTTTAGGGATTTTGCCGCCGTTTGCAAACTATCCGAACGATACCTTCCCATCCACATAATTGACAACCTCGATGGAACTAAAATGATTGAAAAGATGTATCAGGAGGGCGAGATCATCGAAGCCACCAATTCCGCCCTACTCGGCAATCCTGCAAATAATTTGCCTCCCATATCCGTCAATATGACTATGATGACGTTTTCCCGACTTTTAGCAAGGTTCGGAGCAGAGATAGGAAAAAGTAACGCCACCGGATATGATTGGATTGGCACCAAGTACAGTCTTCCCTCCAGATGGACCACCACCTCAAGGACATTGGGGGCATCGCCTGGCTGGAAGAATGTTTTTAGTCGGCTCATCGGAATTTGCGGTAAGTTTTGAACAAGTTTCAGAAATAAATATTTTGTTCATGATTTTTTACAAATCTCCCTCCCCCCCCCCTTTAGAATACAACTCGGTCCGGCTAGGAATTTGGACGGTAGCATCTCGTTCAATAAGTTACGACAGGACAGGCGCACCGTTCCAGTCCAGCTTGAGATTTCGGGGGGTAAGTCTTTTACTAATTTCAAATTCATACCAAATATCGTCGAACTAACTTAAAAAAGTGAAGTCGATACTTAATTTAGAAAAGTGCAAAGTGCAATGTATGGACTTATGGACGTTAGCACTTTTCTGAATTTAATCTCAATCGCCCTCTCGATAAAATAATTATTATTCTCTCTTCCTATTTAACTAGCCGTCAGATCCAACAGGACAACCCGGGACAGTTGCACGTTAATAGCAACTCGCAAATCTGACAGAATTTTCCTTGAACCCGAAACCCAACTATACAGGAGGAGAAGTTATGCCATCAGGAACAAAGGGGGAAAGACCATGTCAGCAAAAATATATCTTTTACATTACATATTACTCATTATTTATATGTCGGGTCTGAAGAATGGTTTCGACGTATGAATTTTTACCATCCAATCATGTATGCTGTTAATCTAGTTTTAATAATCCATAGGTATGAACAATAAAAATCTTATCCAGACTATTAAATCCGGTTGAAATATTAATATCTCAAATAAATACATATCGTCGTACTACTTCAGAAAAGAGTTAAGTGCAGTCGATGCTTAATTCAGGAAGAAGTTCAGTACCGTCGACGCTGACGAGATGACATAAAAAATGGGCTCTAGAGCTTTTTTGCGAAATTTAGTGCAATAAATCGTCTGCATCATTATAAAGTCAATAGCTGTCAATAGCTGAATTTCAATTTGACACCTTTATATGGGTAAAAAGTGAAATTAAATTATTTTTCAAAAACGGTATTTATATAATTTTAACTTGGCTGTATTTTTTTTAATTGTAGCGTATATTGTCCTACATCCGAGCGTTTCAATGTACCCTTAAAATGTTACCCAGCTCCAGCATCGGAAAAGGAAATCCGCACCGGATATTTTTTCAATTTCCTGAGCAAATACCAATGCTGTGTTGTGCGTATAATTTTTGACACATGGCTTAATGATATATTTCCCGTCATAAACCATGTGTATAAAACAATGATCCATTGTTCAAGTCGATTTGATAAAAGTATCGTAACACCCTGCGTTTTATAATCATTAATTTCGTGTTTGTGAGTAGAAGTTCGTCATAAAGATGTCAATTTGTTCCAAGATGCAAATACTACTCTTTCTTGCTATGCTGATTGCTGGTAAAATACACAAATTTCCGCATTTATTAATATTGGTATAACGGCGATATATCAAACTATTTGGATAAATTTAAATAAATTCAAATTTCATCCATAGTTGACGAAGTTGATTGAATGTGAAATTGTTCTTAAGGAAGCACGACACATATTTTTAGTTTGGAGGACTGAGGTCCAAGTTCACCTTAAATCGCGACCACTTTCTCGTCGATACCTTTTCTGATCTAACCCTTTTAGCCGGACATAACTTTACAGACGAATTGCAGATAATTCTACTATTATTTATCTAAGCACATGTTTCATTTGAATGTTACAGCGTGCCAATCCAGTCCTGGGGCGCAGTGCGTGTGTAAAAAGGGCGACGACGTATTAACCGGGCCGCAATGTGGCAAAGACATCAACAGATTTCAAGGCAATAATCCTGTCAGGAAACGAAGGGTGGGTTTCAGGAACTTATCTGTCGTTCATCTGCAGTTCTGAGAAGGACGGACGGAGAACGACGTTCTCTTCTTTGTTTTAGGACACCTCTCCACATTGCTAGAAGCATTTGGTGGCTCATATATTAAAACTTTTGTAAATAAAAGCGGGAGATTTAGTCACATTGCGTGGGAGATATAATTATGCTTTTACAGTTCAGCCCATATAGGCGATTTTTTTAAAAATTAGCCCCTTTTTTAATGATATTGTCTGAACTTGTGACCCAAATTTCTAGAGGCTATGGTTGTATTTTACAAATTTTGATTTTTTTTTTAAATTTTGTTGGTCCCTCATAGATTCCGGAACTGTTTACATTTTTTCAATCGTTCAAAAATTAACCGCGCATTAGTAATTTGAATTTTCAATGTATTAAGAAAAAAGTTCTAATTTAAAAAATCAACCATAATAGTGACAATACCTTGGAAATTTTTCTGAAAATGATTTTAAAAAATACTTATTATGGAATACCTGCCAGGCAACGTTTCTGAATTCTTTGAGACTACTGATATCGGCTGAACAATTAAAGTAAATAACATTAAAATGGTTTCATATAGGATATAGACGTGTCTAAGGCTTACGATGGTGAGCAATGCCACCTCGATGTACTTTATGAGTGCCCAGATCCACCAGATGCAACAACGCCGGCGAAATTTAAGCAATACTGTGTCGCAGTCATTGTCAGTGACAATCATTATACATGCGATGAACAGGATGGACATGGAGTCTGTCAATTTCATTCATCTCAAGGTTAAATTTTCGGCGGAAATGAAGCGATTTTGGGCAAATGGAATAAATTGTATAAAAAAATAGAGCTGGTATACGTAAAAACAATTTATCATTTTTATAAGGTACATAGCATGGAATTTAACTTGCACGCTAAATAATGTTGTGTACAACCACTTGAGGAAAACGATATTGTAGAAATTTTTCTCAGCATTGATGAAAATTTGCTATTATGAGAAGCAAAAAATACTCAATTTCCTTGGACAAAGTTGATTTTACCCAATATTGGATAAATTGTATTCAATAATTTAGCTAAAAGGATTTTACACAGAGTTGTTAAAAAATTGCATAAATCCATGAGTGATTTTTGTTCAAGATTGAGGAAAGATTGATCAAAATGGTTGGTTGTTTAAAGTTCATTCAATCTAGACAAGCTTTACTCATGAACAGAGGAAAATACTGTCATGCACTGAGGAAAATTCGCTAAACTGTTGTAGGTTTACCCCGCTTGCGGCGGGTCTCTTATTTCCTTCTTAGTTGGAAGCACGACACCGGTGAGACAAGTCACGTAAAAAAATCTACAATTTTTTTAATTGCTGCGAAAAAATTAAATTTTCATCATAATGAGTGACTTCGTTGAAAAAGTTCTGGAATCGGCAGGATTAGCTGAACTTCTTCAAACATTCAAAGGTACGAAATTAATGTAATTTAGTATTTTTTAACTAATTTATCAACTAACTAAATTTATACTTATTATTTATTAATCATTATTAATTGTACTTTTTCAAATTATAGATCAAGATATTGACGAAGATGTCCTCCGTAAATTGCCTGATTGCCAAACCGGATCTATTGAAGAGCGCCTGTTTGCTGCCATTGTTTCGTCAGTTGGGCGGAGGCTGAAAATTATTAATTCTATCAGAGAAGTCGTCGCCGTAAGTACCTCTGGTGATCAACTTTATAATTGTAGCATTTGTCAGACCAATTTTAAAGAATTCAATATATATTGGAATCATCTAATCATTTTTCATGAAATTAGTAAAGGGATAGCTAGAATTAATTGCCCTTTGTGCTCGACAATGTTTACAAGTACAGAGACTCTTAAAAATCACGTCAAAGTTTTTTGTCCAAAGAATAGAAGAAGGTCAGAAAATTCTAAAATTATTTATTCTCCAGATGTGCCTCAAAATATTGAAACAGAAATAGGGCCAAGTTTGCTGGCCAATATTAGCAACGATTATAAGTTAGCTTTTGTTAAAACACTTCAAATGTCAGGTTCCATTCCGCTAGTAAAGTCAGCTGAAATCCTAGCATCCGCGAATTCTTTAGTAAATAGCGTGGTAGAAATTGCAAAAAATTTTGCCAGCAGTAATATCAAAAAGGATGATTTGCTAATTAAACTGAATACTTTAAAAGATCCTTTCCATAAATCAAATTCTTCGCAATATTTAATTGAAAAGGGTTTAAAAGATCAAGAAATTTACAATGAGACTACTGAAATTAAACTCGGGTCACATTTTAAATTTGACAAGTCAGCCGAGTCAGTGATAGAAAAATTTGATTACATGTATTATTTTGATTTGTCTAAAACTTTGCCAATAATTTTATCCCGCTATAAGAACGAATGCAATTTCGTGATTGATGATAATAATCCCAATATTTTTTTAAATTTTAAATCTGGAAATTATTTTAGAAGATTGACCGGAAACCCACTTTGCTTGCAAATTTACTATGATGACATAGAAATTTGCAATCCACTTGGAGCAAAGGCAAAAATACATAAATTAGCGATGTTTTATTTCGTGATTGCAAATTTTCCACCTCACTTAAAATCTCAATTGTCCACAATTTTCCCTCTATTAATTGTTAAGTCAAAATTTGTAAAAGAGTATGGAATTAACAAAATATTGAAACCAATGGTGGATGAATTTAAGAAAATGTCTGTAAGTAACCAGCTCAATTTTTTATTGGACTCGCCATTCACACACGTAGCTTTGTTACAAGTTTGTGGAGACAATTTAGGTCTTCATTCCTTACTTGGATATACGGATGGGTTTAATGCCAATTACAGGTGCAGATTTTGTAAGGGTAACAAGCACTTCACCCAAATTGCTATAGAGGAGGAAGCCTTGTTACGCCGGAATATTAATAATTATACCTCTGATTTGGTAATTGGAGATATTTCTTTAACAGGGATACGAGAGGAGTCAATTCTAAATGATATTTCGTATTTCCATGTCACTGAAAATAATGCCCCAGATATTATGCATGATTTTTTTGAAGGAATATGCATAATTGAATTAAAAATAGCCTTGGATTATCTTATAAAATCTAGGAAAATGACTTTGCAAGAAGTAAATCACAGAATTTCGACCTGTTTCAAAAAGAATAGTCATAAAGTGAACAAATTTCCAGAAATCAGTCAATCCTTTATTAGTGATGAAAAAAAATCTTGCTTTTCAGCATCAGAAATGAGCAATTTTTTTCTTATTTTTCCTGCAATTTTTTTAGAATATTTTTGTGATTCAAAAGTGGTAGAGTTAATTTTAAAACTTAGAAGAATTATCCGAATCATTATGGCACCATTAATTTCACGTGATGGTCTATCATTATTGCGATATTTAATTGCTGATCACCACCAGCTTTATATTAGTTTAACTGGTAATAATCTCACTCCAAAGTTGCACCATATTTTACATTACCCCTATGCAATAGAGCAGCTGGGTCCGTTAAAAAATTATTGGTGCATGAGATTTGAAGCAAAACATAGATTTAGCAAAATTGTAGGAAAAACTTCGTACAATTTCAAGAACATAGCAAAATCGGTAGCAAGACGGTTATCTTTAAATTTAGCATTCTCACTTGATTGTTCCAAAGATGAGGGTAACGAAATTGTGCAAATTAAGTACGGTCAGGGAGTTAGAATAAAGCTGGACGAATTGAAAGGAAATTTCGACTTTTCGTCAGTAAATGTTGGCAATGAGGAGACAATTTTGTCTGTCGATAATGTAAGTGCAAATGGTACTTTAATTTCCTCCCAGAAATATTTTATCATAGGAAGTAATGAGAGTCAGCTTCAATTCTGTCAAACCGAACTTTGTTTTGTATATAATGATCAAGTTTTTATTTGTGTTTCTCCAATTACTTGTGTGGAATTGCTTAATAATTCGTGTCTTTTTAAAGTAACAGGTAAAAAACCAGCAATCATTGTTAAACCTCAATTATTAGATTTGGAGCACCCTTTGATTGTGGCAAATACCAATCTGGAGTATGACGTGATATGTTGTCCAATAGAATTAGTTTAATTTTTTTAACTATTTAAATTTTATCACGGTTTAAATGCAGTTATGTTTTTAGCTTTTTTGTATTATAATAGAAAGTTAGCGAACAGCATCCGACGCCGAGAGCCGAGGAAACACAATTTAATTTAGTTCTGGTAAGTAAAACATTATTATGGATCCTAATTTTTTGCATGAAGTATAATAATATTGTTTACTTCCATTTTCAGATTGATAGTGAGGAAAACAGTTCACAAATCTCACAATCCATTAATAGTTTTGAGCAAGAATCCATTTGCTCTGTAAATATTTATGAAAGTGACAAATGTTTATTACTGGAAGATGCATTATTTGTAAGTGAATTATTTAAGAAGTAGAAAAGTAATAGATATGTTAGCTGATATAAAGTTAACAAATTTATTATTTTTTCAGAATGTAAAGGATATCATAATTCAATCCGATAATGAGAAAGGTACGACCAAAGGGCAAGAAATGTTGCAGCAAATCATTCATCTCGGAATGGCCACGTTTCAGATAAAGAGTTTAATTAAACGACGGACTGTAAATAATCTCATCAAAAACCATTCCAACTAGTAATCGTTTACATAAATTTCCTGGTTGTCTCTTTAATTAGTCTATAGGAAATTATTTTATTTATTTTATTTACAGTCCACCACGCCATGTGAAGCAAAATCTGGCTCACTGTATCGCTTCACAATTATTTGGACATCTCACCGAACAGCAGCAGAGTGATATTAAAGTAAACCCAAAGTATTTATCTACGATTTAAGTATACGATTGATGTTTAAATATATATTTTGCAGAGTTTATTCTATAGTGATGCCAAGTCAATTGAGACGGAGAAAGTTGATGTGAGAGGGAAAATTATTTACAAAAACATTCCAGCAACAGGATTGATCGAGGACCGGTTAAAATATGTGCGAAATAAAAATAGAATCTCAATCAGGAAGCAGCCTAGAGTCCCCGAATCAACTGTTATTGGTAATTTCAACATTATACCACATAATTATTGTTGCAAACCTTTTTGTTATAAATAATAACACCATATACTTGACAGATCCTGCTGCGGAGGAGTATGAAATGAAATCTTGGTTATCAAATTCCAACTCGCCAAAATCGCAGGTGTTACAATATATGAAGGACACCTTTAATTTGCGGAGCCTGGAAATAAAAAACACTACTAATTTGATCGACACTTTAAACGAATGGCCGCATTTGCTTGAAACATCTGGTGTAGTAAGTGTTACATTATATTATTTACAGAAGTAAAAATAAATAAATATCTAGTTTTATTTTAATCACTGTCCTTAAAATCTTAGATAGACGTTGACTTTGAACGATTGAATCCGGGGAAGTCTGAACTACTTCTAAGGAAGTGGCCAGGCGTCGCAAAACAAATTTGCGAATTTGCTGAGAAGTCTCAAGCTAAAGCAATAACAGAGGCAGGAATTAAAAAACTGTTTTCCAAATTAACATCAGGTATGCAACAACAGGATTAGATAATAATATAACACATGGTGTTTGTATTTGTGCGTTATGAAAATTAATGTGTTAATTTATTAGATGAGATTGCCATTGCTGCCTTTGTAATGCTGCCGTATTTGACCTCAACGTCCGCTTATAGGAAGAGAGGAGCCAAAAAAGTTAAAATAACTGCTGCGGCGGCTGCTGAATTTTTTATCCAATTCGTTTCGGTACGTGTTACGTGTAATTATTTGGTGCGAATTGGTCTCATTTTATTTATTTATCTTGATTTGTTTTAATTTAGAAAACTTTTGATTTGGAGTCATTGAAGACAAGTGAATCGGAACGACGCCAACCTTTTGTTATTTGTGTAGGAAATTTGGCAAACCTTGAAATTAAGGACGTCTTCGTTATGCTAGAACGGAAATTAATTAAGTCTCCGACAATGATGTCAGCGGTAGATCTATGTTTTAAATTGTTCCATGTTTTGAAACTTAAATTCCCTGATGAATGTTACCCGGTCTGGTCATTCTTTGATCACTGCGCCTATCAGATCAAAGAAATTGTATCTCCTCCCGCATCAGTATTAGCGTTAGGATCTCAAATTAAAATTTAATTAATTTTGTTTTATTGTTTGACTCGGATATTGATATATTAGTAATAACTAATTCCAATAATTTAAATTTTGTTTGTCTATTTAGATTTGTTAAGATGAATTATTATCTACGGCTGAATTTTATTCTAAATAAAAATACCAACAAATATCAATAATACGTTGTGGAAATTTTATTAAACATTTGGCTAAAATTCATACAAGTAACTGTGTAAATAATTTACAATGAGTTGAGCATAATTTATACATGCATTTGGGTATTTTTCGGTCAAGTAGTTAATTAAAATCTGTTCAAGACAATATTAAAGAACGCTCAACTCAGCTGGCTAAAGTTTACTCAACATTGAGGAAAACGAATTACTCAACTGGCTTGTGCAAAATTTGTACAAGACTTGTTTCCATCACTTTTTTCCTCAGGGTTGCGCAAAATTTTGCGCAAGGTTGGCTAAAATTTCCCCATTTTTTTTTAGTGTGTGTGTAATTGTGCATTAAAGGTTACATTTGTATATCTGCAATACTGCATTTATTTCTTTGTACATTTTCCTTACCGGATGGCAACAAACTGAAGCGCTATATATTACGAACATAAAAATACGGGTGGGTGAAGCATACTTCTAACTTTAATGGCAGTGTGTTTATGTTAAAATTACATCTCGCCCAGAAAAAAACATTTTGATTTGCATGGAGACCTTGGCATTGGTTAGAGGTACATGTGCTCGGACCGTTTCGATTCTGGACACGAAATGAAACGCGTTTCCGTTTGGGTTGTCTCATTTCGGAAACGCTAAGTTTCGTTTCCGTTTCGTTTCGGATCAAATGTGGAAACTCGTAAAATGTAATTATTATAAATTGATATTTTATTCAAAAGTTATTAAGATAAAATTAAATACGCAAAGTATAGTGATCCAATTCGATAAATGATTGTGGTTGTTACCAATCAATCGTCAAAGGCTTTCGAAAACAATTCACAATAATTCCAGCCAGTAAGCATTAAAGCATTTACACCCAGCACAAATATTAAATTTCAGTATCTGTATTACCTGACAACACCTTTGTCTACATTTCCTTCCAACAAATATTAACATTTCATAGCTCACCAATTCCCTTATTAATACCAACATTGAGGCAATTAGCAGACCACCGCACAACCCAAATATACCCTCCAACGCAGAGAACGAGACACTTTTCCATTTCTCAGCCTCTACTTCCTGCTTGGCCCCGAGATTTCTCATAATAACCACGGAATGCAACAACTTCCGATACTGCTCCTTATCTGTTTTATCTCTTATAAGTGTAAGAAGGGATTTTACATGTTGCAGATCCCACCACAGCTTATACAAACCGGACTGAGCTAGCTGGCCGATACTAAGGGAAACGACCCAATTCAAAAACCCGCGAGTAATAAATAACGGAATATTAAAAAAAAATATTGGGGACTCTGTATGTCTTACAATGTACGGGTCTCTATGGACCCTAACTCCTGCTAAAACTTGGTCTAAATCTAGTTCCACGTTTATAACCGCAAATGTATCCATAACCTCGTGGAAAGAATTATTCCCAAATTCTACGTGAGAACCCTGAGATATATTAACCCCAGTAACAAACCCAGATAAGGTATTGACTAATCGTGTCCTCGTCTTAAGTTTTGTCAAAATGCGAAACAAATTTGGAGGGCTAACTGAGCGGACGTCCTCTATCATTTTATACTTTAAGACCGACACCAATATTATACCAGAGTCCAAAGGTACCTGAATTTGGCTCGTTGTAATGATTTCAATACTTGAGTCCACAACGTCTTCCAGCGATGAGGGAAGTGCGGGTGGGGTAAGAGATACGAGTGATGAGAACATGGACCCTTGGTAAAACACAGTCCCAAGAAGAAAGAAGGACAAAAGACAAATTACCGCAAATATTGGGAAACTAGATACAACTCGAAAAACATGTGTTCGGTGGTACTGCCCGCAAAGCGAGCATAAAATCCATTGCCAGGATAGGATGAAATATCGAATTGAATGCTTCAAATTTTCCAAATCTCCTCCCGCCATTACTGTAAAAAGGATTGCCACGACTGTGAAAGAAATGCCGAATGCCACCCAGGTATAAGCGTCAAGGGGCATCACAAGACCTTTCAAGCCAACCGAACGAGGCTGTCTAAATGATACCGTAGCCATCCTAAGTTGATACCTCTGCCCGCAGTGAGACAACCATGTAAACTTTGAGGACGCAGGATATAAAAACTGAGGCAGGGATGCAGTCGTGACAGCAAAATTGTAACCGATTGATAAACCAAAATCCCTTGGCTTAGCATTCCGAACACCAGATACGATGATATCACTAAAGTTAAGTTTACCGCCGAGGGCAAGCTGTGCACAAGTTATATATAACGGAAATATTTTCCCAAGTCGCTTTAAGGCGCTGCATGTGTGTATTTTCGGATCAAACATATGACCGTCCCCGCCTGAGTTGCCAACTTTTATACCGAGCAAGTTGAAATTATGAATTTTCCAAGCGGACTCAAGCACCATATGCTCGTTGCCTTCAGACGGCTTTAGTTCAACCAGAGAATGCAACCTGCAGGGAAAACACACCGCAAATATTTGTAGGCTTGAGCTATTCGAACCCCTATGAAGTACGAATAGCCTTGATGTCGAAACTGCTGAGCCATAAATTTGAAACGTTTTAACGTTGATGTCGCTTAAAATGAGCAAAATGTAGGGGGGGTTTCCCCACAGTGACTTAGTCGCCCCCTTGTTTCAGTTAGTCTTCTCTTCTCGAAATGCGTGTCCACCTTCGGAAGAAAGATGACAGAAATTTGAGTTGTAGAGTGACCAAAATATTTGGAAAAAATGTACTGATTAATGCGGCAATTCTTGTAGTATATGCTGGATTTTAGACTATGATTTACAGGAAGGTTGAACACTACTTTGAGAGTGGTTCGACTTCGCAGAAGCAATTTGAGTAGCTTAGATTCCCAAGATTTTAGATGTTCAGGGTTAAAGGTTCCTAATACCTGTAATGTTGATCGTGCTGGGATCAAACGGTCAACTTCTTGCAAATTAAAGTTAGAAGAAATTGTGTGGAACGAAAATAACACAAGGAAAACACAAGTACAAATGTTGCTCGTCATTTTACTGTTGACCTGTCTTGTTGGGTATGAAAGCACGAAAATGATTCTTATATTCCAGAGGCCAACACAGGTTACGGAACATTGAAATCAACCGTATTATTTAAATATGTCTTAGCATTCCTCGCAATTGTGCTGTCCCACACTTAGAGACAAAATGAGTGCATGTAAATTATTAATAACCTGCAACTCTTCGACTTTACTAAACCGAACATGCAACCATATTATTTTTAGAAGTTAAGAATAAATATGAACATGGAAGCTATATCGCGTTAACTTTCTTTCTGAAACATTAGGATTATAATGCTAATATGTATGGTCGGAATTTTATAACTAGATATATTTTTATTATGACTGTATACCAAGAATGTACTAATCATCAAACAGCGACCATAATTCCTAAAGTGAAGATGGTAACACATGCACATGAAGCTTCATTTTGCAACACGGAATTCTGAATTAATATACTGGTCTGCATCAGGTCCCGATCTAGAAATTAATCTGACATCGGCGCCCCGGGCAAAACAAGACCCCGGCGCCCTTAACTCCTCAGGGCGGTTATATCTAGTGTATAGAGGGGCGCCTCGCGGCGCCCCTCTGAGGCCACGCGCCCCGGGCAATTGCCCGTGTTGCCTGCCCCAAAATCGGGGCCTGGTCTGCATTGTAAGATTAAACCCTTTTTTAGAAGTAAATATAGCCCCCCCATACAGGAGGAGCTTTACTAAGTTTACGCTTAATAAAGCCACTGATGAGCCTTATCAAGCTAACAAGGGACACTCACGACCTGTCGTTTGAGTCCAGGGTACCCACTATGTTTTTTAGAATCTACTAGGACCCCTGATGAAGGATTCCTTCATATTTCCGTGTAAAACTCATATTTGGCGCCATGGCGTGGCGCTAAACTTAAAAATTTGCATTTTCGACCAATTTCAAACCCTCATAACTTTTGCAGTTTATGTCGGATTTTTAAAATTTTATGCTTAAAATGATCACAAAAGTCGAAATTTTAGAGAAAAAAATAAAAATAAAAAAATTTTAATTTTTGAGATATTTTTAGCATTTTTTCGACGAACCCAAAATTTCGAAATTTTGCGAAAAGTTAAAAGCGATAATTTTGGAAAAAATTTCAAAGAATACGAAAGTTGAACTCCTTGTCATGATTTTTGCCAAAAATTTTGAAAATCCGTCCAGGATTTCAAAAGTTATGGCGGTTTTAAAATGTAAAACCATCAAATTTGGCGAATTTGGCGCCACGGCACGGCGCCAAATATGAGTTTTACACGGAAATATGAATGAACCCTTCATCTGGGGTCCTAGTAGATTCTAAAAAACATAGTGGGTACCCTGGACTCAGACGAAAGGTCGTGAGTGTCCCTTGTAAGTAACTTTATTCCCCGACAGCTTTACAAAGCTGTCGGGGAATTTTTTAAATTTCGCTAATAAATTTGTTCCTTAACTGTCATAGTTTTCTACCAAGGGATAATGGCCATTTAATAAAGTATCTATTTATCTGTTCTTAAAATTTGGTTGCAGACAATTCTTAACTATTTCCCTTCTTCTACACTTAGATACTTAATTACATACAGCGTGTCTGGTTAAGTATGCAGAAAAATTTTTGGGAAATAATAATTGGGTTAGTAATTTTAAATTCATATATACATAGTTCTACATATATATTTATATGTATATGAACCTATTATGTACGTATGTACATATACATGCATAAGAAAAATGGAGAGGATTTATGCCATTAAGAAGGTCTTGCCTAGCTAAATAGCTTGGGCGTTATTTAATTGTGGTTACCATAATATGTCCTTCTTGATTATTACCTGACGGACAATAAATCAATCCTTAATTCTACTCAGAGTTAAAACTCATTTCGTTGAACAGTGCGAAACTGTTTTTCTCCATAAG